ACAACTCCATGATTCAAGAAACGTGCTGTAGGTGTAATCCGTACTGTTCTTTACTGTTTTCTTCCTTTTTCCATTTTTAAGTTTTTGTTGCTGTTGTTGTTGGTTTTGTTTCCTTTACATGGTCGTTAACAGTTGACGATACTTTAATCACTGTTTACTTTACGTCACCCTATATAGTATTTACGTATTTCCTACCAATTACCTGCTAATTACGGTAGCTCTTTTCCACAGAGAGCTAAATTCATCATAATGTAGAGTAAAAGATGTTCATCTTCTCCATATTTATCCAAATAACTATCTATATAACTTTAGTTGCTTACCATAAACATCCCAGGAATGTGACGAATGCATCGTGTTTACAATAACAAATACCCCTTGTAATAATAGTAAAACAAAACTGAATGCAGGACTGGCACAGCGGCAAAGGGCTGATTTATTTTAGGCCAATATTTCGGCTAACAAAATTAGACTTCCTCAGGGCCAGAGCTAAACCGAGAGAAAATGTCTTTTAACGGCTCCAAAAATTAAGGTGTACAGTGACACAATCTATTCTGACGGATTTTTATGCCAAGTAAGGAAGTGAAAGATCAAGATAGAGAAATGCAAAAGTATCCAGTAATTTTCCGGCCCAGTTGTATTCCCGTTAAGAGACTTTTCCCCTCAATAATTATAAATTGAACCTCTTCCAGTTTACAAGGGAAGTGGATGTGATTTTGTTTCAGCCCAATTACCAAATACCCTGGTTTCTTGTACGCCATTTCAGTACGTCAAGGCCAGGAGCCAAGAAGCCTTTGTTTGTAGATAAGAAATTTCGGAATTTGGTAGAAAAAAGCTATTGATATAAAGACGAAGCCAAATTCAAGATACAAGATAACTTATTAATATAAAGTGCAAAAAATGTTTTAGCACGAATGATCGACACCGTTATAAGTTGTGAGGAAATTATTTTTTTGCTTTTGGATGAGACAAATAGGGTTTATCTATTATATTTGGACGTTATGGAATTAATAAAATATTCTACGCAAAGGGGTACAGATACAGTCCATTCATCCACGTTGCTTATTACTTTCTATATTGTTTCAACGTATATAACAACTAAAGTTGTCCATAAATATTTCAACTTCAGCATTTCCCGCGTTTTATGTGTCGCACATTTATGACTAAATAAACTGCTCCAGCCAGAAATAAATAAGTATCCTGTATATCAGGAGAGCTGACAGAAAACCAAGCAAGAATTCCAAAGTGTGTAGCTGTCATTTCAGAGGTGGAAAGAAATCTGCAGGGCCGGAAATTTTCAAGTGAAATTATTCCTCTCACATAAAACTCCTCCGAAAAAGAAAAGGAAACCCAAATCATTGGTTAATAAGTTACCGACTGTTAAAGATACCATGGCCATCATTAATGCCAAATCTGCAGAATCTTCAGATACATGCATGGAACGAAAGATCCTCAGCTCCAACTGAGCAAATAATCTTAAAGGCAGAATTAAACGTAGCAAAGTAGGAGCTGAACTATCACCAGAAAAGGGAAAATATCTCTGTTCGGAAGACGATTTGAGAACTAGAATTTTCGGAACATTTGTTGTAAAATTTCTTTCTTGCCTGCCTCTCCTAGGATTTTCGAACATCTACAAAATGGTATAATTACCCATTTTAAACGGATATTTACCCTAAAAAAGGCCACCTAGAATTTTCGGGAGCCTTTTCCTGGCTGAAATTTTCGAAAAGGTAAGTTTTGATCCCTATAATTTTCGGATCACTAGACTTTCAGCTAGGAAATCCGAACAGATGAAAAGTTTTTAGGGGATAAAAATATGCCTATATCTACCGTTTAAATACTAAAATACGTTCAACAATGCTATGTTAAGTGGTTTGAACTAAATGATGTGTATTCGCGCCCTTCAATGACGTCAAGAAACTGATGTGAATCTATATTAAATAGCTACAATATTTCAGACACTGATATTGTTCTTTGGTTTGTATTAAATCTATCGAGTTGTCTTTGTCACAAACGATATTGCTGACTTTTCTATATCTAGCTTGCGGATCATTCCCTCTATATTTATCTCAGTCTGTGTCTCTCGCGGGAAGAAGGGCGTTCTTTTCCCACTTTCTTGAAAAGAAAAAAAGGGAGGTGGGGGGACCTTACATGGAAGAGGGATATTCCGCGAGACACAAAGAAGGACCACAGGTAGCCTAAGCTCGAAATATACGCATCGGCGAACATCGGCATTGTTGCGTAACATTCGAAATATAAGAATTTGTACCCCCCGGGGATTTGTATGGGAAAAAAACCTATCGTTTCCGTAACCTACGAAAATGAAAGGATTTCAATAAAAGAAAATACAGCTTTACCTTACATAAAATGTGTGTTACGTCTCTCCTGTATAGTCCATGGGCCGATTTATGGCCGTTTTATGGGTTGTAGTGTAAAAGGTTAACCCGGAGAGAAAACCGTTTACAGCACAACCCATAAAACGGCCATATGTAAATCTGCTCATGGACCACACAGGAGAGACGTAACACACATTTTATATAAGGTAAGCTGTTTTTTTATTGAAATCCTTTCATTTTTGTAGGTTGCGGAAACAATAGGTTTTTTTTCCCATACAAATCCTTACCTTTACGTCACTCTCTTTAGTGTTTACGTATTTCCTACTAATTACATGCTACGCAGCCCTTTTCCAAAGATCTAAATGATTGTCATATAGGGCAAAAGATGTTTTCTATATCCATAATTATCCATATAACTCAGTATCTTGTGGATTGCTTACCATAAACATCCGGAATATGATGAATGCGCAGGAATCGTGGTTTCAGGGTCATTGCATATATCAAAAATTAAATAAACGATATAAAGGGTACAGTGGTTCTTCAAAAAACCCTGGAGGGACTCTCTAGACGTAGCAAAAACTTTACTGACGCTTATTTGTGACAAAGTATTGAAACAGCTGGAAGATCAAGAAATTGAAGATGAAATTGAGATACATTGTCCTTCCAAACCGCTGATTAGATCGATAGTCATAGCCTCCTAAGGTTGGTTTTTTGGGGGAAATGATGTTGATTTGGGAAGGATCGGAAATAAAAAGTTAGGGTAGAAAAGGTATACACATAAACCAGTTAGTCCGCTAATGGGATCAGAGGCACCTTGTCGTGGTGGTGGACTGTCTGGTAATTGTCAGACTAATTATTCACTTCATAACTGTATTTGAATTTTTAACAACCCGTAAATCCAATATTTTTCCATTTTCCCAAAATTTTAAACATCTCCCTCCCTAAATACGTCCGAGAAATCGTCCAAAAATTCACAAATAGTTATTGAATTAAGGACTGTAACTTAGTTGAGTCATTTTTGGACTGAATGAAATCTTGGCTATAAATTTAAGAAAAAGGTGGAAATTACTGCTTTTAACCGCTCTGCTCCCTAAATATTCGTGTAGTGAACGTGTAAATTAGGGGGGAATCTTTTGAAGGCTTTTTCTTAGAAGACCAACAAAAAGCTGCGTTCTGTTTCACAAAATTAAGGCGGCTGTAGTCTTGCACTTTTGCTGGGCAGTTAATGCGTTGCAGAACCATCCAGGAATTTGATGGGCCCGTTCGCTTCCCCATTCAAAGAGTTTTTCTCTCCGGCAACTTCAAATTGACCTCTTTCAGACAGTTTACATTGAGGGAAATATTATATGTTTTGAGCCTCTTTCGGGCGAACTACTATACGTCACTCTTTCTTGTACGTCATGTTTGTACGTCATGACTTGGGGCCCAGGGGTTGTGTTACGTCAGCTTTTTCGTAATTTCTTCTTTGGGGGGAACCCTTTTATAAAAGACAAAGACACATTCAAGTAAGAATACTGACAAGAAAGCTTCAGTATTAAAATGCCCAGAATTGTTTTAGCATAAATGATCGACATGGTTATCAATAGTTCGGAAATTATTTTCTACTTTTGGACTGACGAATAGGATTTATTTATTATATTTTGGAACCTTATAAAGGTCTATATAATATCTCATAAGTAGTAAAATGTCTTTCTTTGATGACAGCAGAACAGATACAGTCCATTCATAGATCATATTGCTCTCTTTATTCTCAATATTATTTTCAACGTATACAACAACTAAAGTTATCAATAAATATTTGAACTAAGTTGTCAACAAATATTTCAACTTTGATAATTCCCGCATTTTATGCCACAAGGTTACGACGTAAGGGCCTGCTCCAAGCAGAAATAAATAGGTGTCTTGGTAACTGTCATGTTACTAAATGAATAAATAAATATGAAATAAATAAAAGATGTACATTTGTGCTGACTTAAACGACTTCATAAAACTGAAGTGAAGCTATAAATAGCTATATATTAAATATAGAGACTGATATTGTTCTGTGGTTTGAATAAAAAATATATCTGAATTATTTTGGTAGCAAACGATTTTAATGATATCCTATCCCGGACTCGAGTCAGTTAATCGTTAGTGGTACCAAATTTGGCAAAAAATGAGACATAAATTTCTCGATTTTTCAAAATATTTATCTTCAAGGGATCTAACGTCCGCGAAAGTTGAGAATCCTTTCAGTCTCATTTTAGTTTTTGGAAAGTTTAAATTAATACTTATTGATCAATGACACTCAAATCCTTCTTAACGGTGGAAACATTATATTCAATGCACATTTTTTAAAAGGTAATTAAAGGGTTCCTCACTAATTAAATTTTGCATCGCTACGTTTCGCGTCAACCTTAATTTCGCGGGGTTTTTTTTGTGAAATCGCGACAATTAGTAGCGAAAAGTTTGCAATCGACGCTAACAAATCAGTGTGACAACATCTTTGCATTTTTCGATCACAAACTTTTTAGAGAAAATTTGTTCTCTATATTTGTTTAAGGACGTACGTGGAGGTAAGGCAATTTTGATCTTTTTTGTCTTTTTTTTCCCTCCTAATCACTTCGCTTCCGAGTGGACTAGCGGCTTTATTGTAATTATAACTATAAAGAACGAGCTGTCTAAAAACTACACATCACTGATCGCCGCCATGTTCCTTTCCCCAGTCTGTGTGGGTAGATCTGTCATGACTACTACACTGTTGGATTGACTGAAGATGTCTTCTCTTGAATCTTCAATGTTTGAACGACTTTCAGTAATAGTTACTGTAAGAGAAAAAATGTTTTAAGTAACCTGTAAATTGTGAAAGCTTTGGCTCATCTACGAACTAACTTGCTCCCCTAATATAACATATTTTTATTTGATATAAACGAGATAGATTTTAATATTCGAGGGTCGTAAATTCAGACCCATAGTAATTTTTTTGACCAATCAAAATGTGCGCAGACGCAAGCGTAAGCGCGGGAAAACGTATGCGGGGTGAGGATTGTTTGGCGAAGTGGCGCGAGATTTTTAAGCCAATAGAGAGATTTAGAGTCACGTTTACGCCAAACGGCAAACCTAAATTTGTCCCACATGACCAAGTTTTCCCCTTAATTGTGTTAACTATTAATTCTACGTAAAAATGCGTGGTTTCTCGCCAGCTTTATCCATAAGAATTGTTCAGGACAGTTTTTATCTGCTTATGTTTTCTATTTTGAGAAATTCTCACCTTGAATCTGACGTTTGCCGTTTACCGTTAACATGACTCTAAATCTCTCTAATAACAAACAAAGCAGCGTGAAGCCAACGCAATCGCAAAATTGCAGTTGATACTTTAGGCCAGTCATTATTTTATCGTGGTTTCAATTTGTTTGGATAATTGCTTGGGCTTCTGCATGTATGATATACGAAAAGGATATTGCTATAAAGTAATCAGACAAACTACCTTTATCCGTCGAACAACTTCTCGTTAGACGGTAAATTAGACCAGCTTTCTTGCGGTAAAGGATGGCATCAAACACCAAATACATGAGTACAAACTGTCCTAGGAAAAGGGCGATGTAAAATTCCTGAGGAAATCCACCTGAGAAAAAGAAAACAACAGCAATTGATTTAGTTATTAATATATTGCTTTTGTTTATAAAAAGTATTTTTTGCTATCAAAATAGCTCGAATTTATAGCCGGGATTTAATGGAGCTGAAACTAATCGTGGAACTGAAAACATCTTAGGTATCCTGCTGATGAACAGTGGTGACTTATAGATATTTCCAGCAAAAACAATTTGCTCCGTACAAGGGTGGGGCACTTCTTAAAAAAAGAACCACGGAATGGTTTGAGCTGGTAACGTTCATTGTGTCAGTCAAGGTGATTTCATAGCTCATTCCAGGTACCTTGATAGGTGACTTTTGCAAAACATTCTTACCTTTCTGTGTGGGTTTAGTAGAGGATACTTTGCCCGTTTCTGGTTCCGATATCGTGCTGGTACACATACATGTTTCTTCGTCTACAGAGTTTTTCATTTTTGTGCAGTTCCTAATTCTCTCTTCCGTGCAAACACACCCACACTTTTCTGAGCTCCAAACCTGAAAACACACAAGTTATACTAGACTCAGTTAATTATACCATTTTCCTGGCGTAAATGAAAATCACTCAGATCGAATCTTGGTGACAACTCTTGCGGTGAACGAAAGACAACGTATACCATTTCCTAGCCGAGATGCGTAAAGGTGATGTCAACCTCGTCCCCAGGGCTTTTCCCTTAAAAAATGGGTGGGACCATTTTTTAAGGGAAAAGCCCTGGGGACGAGTTTGAGGTTATGTTACACGAGACGATTCGCAACGACGATTTTAGTGCAACACAGCGCTGCAATGTTGGAACAATGTTGTAACCATCCGAAACAATGTCGCAACAATGTTGCAACGCTGTGTTCTGCTAAAAGTCGTCGTGGCGAATCGTACCAGGAACGTAAGTAGCTCAAGCGACGCTGACGTAAATTGCATAGTGATCATACCTTATTTGGTGGACATATTTCTGGCTCCTTATTACAAACACATCTGCAGATATTTTTACTCCAGACGAGCCCATTCCCACAAGGCTTTGGTGGCTTATCACCATATTTACACCTGCATTGGCAAAGGTCTGGTTTCCAGTTCTCCCAAATCGGGTCACACTGGCTCGGACTCAAGGTGCACTCACATCCACAGCTAGTGTGGTTCTGCATGCTAATTTGCGTCCATCGTCTTGTACCAACTACTTGCACCGTAACAGGGACCTCAGTATACTGTGATGGCACGCATGACCGAACTGAAGGCTGAATCTTCTTACAGGATCCACCACATCTATGCAGATTGATGAAGTACGGAAAGAACTTGTAGTGTGGGTTGTCGATGGCTACTAATGTAGGACGCGGTCTGCAATATTCATTTTCAACATGGACTATATATAAAGAGAAGAAAAATTCACTTCGTTATATAACTGTTTTTTTCCATTTGAACACTTTTTGAAATTGACAGTGTACTCTTTCGTATGTCGGTGTAGTGGCTAACGCAAACCTTGCGTAGGACGTCAGTACTTTTTAGCGTAACTTAACTGACGACCAAAAAAACTTCACTTTAGAATCATAGTTTTAAGTCCTTATTCAAAGAAGTGCCTGACAAGGTAATTTTGTGAAGTTGCGGACAATCGATACTAGTCGTGAATAGTCACATGATACGATTTAGGCACAAAGGTAAAAATTTCGAACATAATCACCCAGTGTTAACTCCAGAGGAAAAACTGAGGTGTAAATAATAAGTGTTAAATGAGCTGAGGTTTTGATTCATAGTATACCAGGAACATTAAGTGAATGACAAAAGAAAGGAAGAAAAATACCTGAATTTCCCAGCATGGGAAGGAGAAGAATCAAAGCAAAAATTCCCTGCATGTTTCGTTTTCTTCTTGATAATTCGCAAAATGGCTGCAATAAGTAAGAGAACTACTAATTAGACCGCACTCAAAATATTAACCCAGTCAATCACCGGCTTTGCTCTTAGTGATAGCACCATCGCCGGTTCTTTGCTGAATTGATATGACTATAAAAGATGCTTTAAGTCTACTTAATTTGATATTCTTTTAATTGACTTATGGGATAATGTTTTCAATTAAGTTTAACTTACCTGATATGATATGCTTTTTTTAAAAAAGTTCGTTTTCCTTCGTTTGGATCCTTACTTGTCTAGTTGTTCCTCAGTTTGAGACAGCATCGTTCCACGGTGTTCGTTTATAACAGCTCAAGAACCGAGCTGAAGTTATGACAACGGATATCCTCTTCTTGCTGTCACATTCCCAGACGAGCTACGCCACACGTATCACTCGAACCTTCCCGACCTCATCCCAGAAGACTCTGGAATGTTTAAAAGAACTCAAAGGCTTAACTGGATCCAAAAAACGGTTCAACTCTTGCGAAAACTTGCATTTTATTAGCCTTGCAGTTATCAGTGTGATGCTGGCGTAGTAAGACTTCAACCGCACCAATTTCTGCCCACAATCACTTAGGGCGATTTTAGTAATTTCGTCCGGAATTACGGTGGTAAGTGAGGTAAACGGAGGTAAACGAATTTATCACGCAATTTGTTCGCAGGAAAAAGGAAGTGGCCACACAAATTCTTTGCAAGCTACATTGTAGCTGAGTCATAAGCAGTTACTGCAAAAAACTAAAATAAAACAAGGGGAAATGACATGAAAGCACTGTAACTTTTTCCTGTAATCCTGTAGATCATTGTAACTAAATCCAAAATCGAAATAAGATACAAATATCACTAGCTCAAGCAGTCAAAAATTGCGCAATATGAAACCCTTGAATCAGAGAAAAATAAACATTGGGCGTTTGGGTTATCGATCTTTTTGTGTATCCACCAAAAATTCCTTTCCAAGTTTAGTGGGCGAAAAAAAAAACGTGAATCTACGTGTGTTGCACGCTTTCCGATAAAGCTGTCTCATGTATAACATAGTAACAGATTGCATGTAGTCAACGCACTCCTCCGTGGAAACAGCAAAAACTAAACAAAAGAAAAAGAAAGAAACAAAGAGAATGTGTGAAACATGCAACTGTTTTGCAAACACTCTGAATGCACGCGCCATTTCAGCACTAATCTGTAAACCTGAAGAAGGCTGGTATAGCCAGCCGAAATATTCTAGTGTTATGAAAAATAATACACGGTGTTCTGATCTGCTTTGCAGTAGTCTTTGGACTTCTCGTTTTTGGTTCAATACTAATGCCTGCCATCATTTGTTCTCAAAATGGTTTCTCGATAACCAGCGGTCTGTGAAAATGTTTGCGTTTCTTTCAAGTTGTGATTCAAGTGTCTCTAATTGGTTTGTTTTCGTTTTTAACTTCCTTTCTTCCGATCCGACCCTTCGGCTCGCCTATTTAACAAGGGCGCGGTGATAAGTGTCCCAAATTGACGTCACGGGGTGCAGAGGGCAGCGCAGGGGTCAGTTATATTTGGCAGTACTGTCCAAATTAATTTTAGCCGATAGCCGACGCAGAGGTTTGAGGGGGCGTCGTGATTTATGCTGTGCGAAGTGAGTCCAGGTGCGAAAACCGAAAGAAAGGGCCAACGTTTCGGCCTTTGTACATCATGCTTTTGTTTCTCCACTAATATACTCCACGTTAATCCTCCATTTTTCCAACTAAAATGCTCGGTAGTCCCCCAAAAAGTCACTAAAATGCTCGATCATATAGATTCAATTTTTAAAGCAAGGACGAGCTTACAAAAAAGAAGGACCGGATCCTATAGCTAATAAAGGATCTAATCGGCATAATGAGGCCTTTTTTTTTATTAATTCTAAACATTTCAAGGGAGGCTTAAGGCTAACAACTGAATGTATAAGTGGTATGACAACAATGTATACAAATAAATAATTTCAATATAGCAAAAAGATCATCTAAAAGGTTATATATATTAAGGTAAAATTTGAATATATTTTTTGAATTATTTTTGTAAAGACGTCAAATCTCTTCAAAAATGGTTCCATTTTCTTTTCTGTGAGAAAAAAAATTTTTCCGGGAAAATGCCACTAAAATGCTCGAATAATACTTAATGCTTTTGCCTCACTTTCAAAAAATGCTAGCATTATATAATAGGTACAAAGGCCTACCAAATTTTGCGCCCACTCACTCTCCTCCAGACTCGTTCGCAGCCGTCGTAAGGCAACGCTCCCCTCCCCTCCCCCCCCATTAGTTGACGAGCGTTGCATAACACCCTAATGACGGCTGCGAAGGAGACTAACCTTAGTCATGCCACTATGAGCCTCTGAGCGGGAGAAAGTGAGACCGCTGGCAGTTTCTCTGGATTGTTGCGTGGCGGAGCATCTTACGTAAAAGCGGAGGGAAATTCTCGGCTCGTTATCTCTCCCGTCGAGTCTCCCGTGGAATAAGGGGGGACTGGGGGGGGGAGCAGTACCAGGGCGTGATTTACCCCTGTTGGACACTTTTCAGTCAGTTCGTAAAGCTTGCATGAGCGTCAAGCTTTTCTAGAACAAAATATGGATCCTCCTAAATAGTTTATGATTTTTATCCAAGGGTTCCACCTTGCTAGGCACCACTTTAAGCCATCGATCGATAAGCTAAGTACTTAGGGCAAGTACTAATCATCTACCGTATTTCCTCGAATAAGCCCCCGCTCTAATTTGCGCTCTCCCGAAATAAGCGCCCTCCTCCAGACCCCTCACTTTTTTAAATGGTAGGGATACAGGGAAAACCAGCTTCTATGACTGCTTTACTTTTAACCTTTTAGCCATCAACTACAGCGGAATCATTATGGGAGAATAGCTGTCTATATCCATACGCGCTTGAAGAGGTCCTTTATGTGCGCTCTTGGTAAATGCCGTAAACGTCTTGGGAACAACTAGACCGTTCTCTAGTTCCTTTAGTGGAAAACGTAATAAGCTCCCTCACGAATAAGCGCCTATCATTTTAACTGAAATTTGAAGTAAGTCCCCGGGCGCTTATTCGAGGAAGTACACAACGATAGAAACGTGATGGAGTGAATTTGAAGCCTGCTGAATACTTGAGTATAATAATGTCCTTAGCTTCCTTAAGTCTCTTGTGGCTTATATACTGGTAGAGCATTTGGAGTGGTACCCAAAAGTTCATAGGTTCGACTCCTATTGGGAGCACCTGGGGTCAATTTAATAATAAAAACTTTTACACGGGTAATTTATAAGTGTAGCTATTGTTATCAGACTGTAAAAGAACGGCTACTCTTGTAAATTGCAAGTGTAAAAGGCTTATTAAATTGACCCCTGGATTCTTTCTCTAACTGGGTCAGTAACTGAAAAATCATCAATCTAATTTTACTTTAAACTACTTTTATTGTAAATCCTTACATTACATGGTTTTTGCTACAAAAAATAAAGTCTCTCTTCTTGTTTCCTAAAAAGAGGGTAAAATTTAAACGTGTTTTACAAAACATTACTTATCCCTTTTCATAGAAAAGAACTTCAGACTAACTTCAACTACGTTACAAACTGCAGAAAATAGTTTCCACCATTTTAACGTTTTTACTTAGAAACGTGTTAAGAAAGTTCGTCCATAAAATCTAGAACAAGGAAAACCCTTCGTTCGTTAGTGATCACTTATTATTAAAGTGGTACATACTACTTCACTGTAAATTCACAGCGTTGTTTTTTAAGAACATACAACGCACTTAAGAGTTGTGCGGGGATTAATCTCATGTATTCTGTATGTTCCTTTTTTGTAGTTGCTGCTGTGGTTTGTCTTCTTAAACATAAGTCTGACGATACGATTTGGTTTGGCCTTCCGAGATTTGACAGTCAGATGACCTGTCAGATCCTGCAATTTCAAAAAAAAAAAAAGATACATTAATGTCTAGGTAAAGGGCATGGATGGAAATAAGTCGTCACGTCTTAAACTATTACTGGGCGGTGCTGATATCGTGATTTGTTGGGGACGAGAAGATCGCTCATTGCCCCTGATCAGAGGCAATGACTGTTCTGCCAGATACCGACAAATCACGATATTTTGAGAACCAAGTGCAATGATTGTTATGTTTGTTTGGTTTTGTAATTTAGTGGGGAAATGCGGAGCCGGTCGCCATCTCGTCCTTCAAAGACGGTGTCCAAACTGGGCATGCGCATAAGCAGAGCACTGTCTGTAATGCGCATGAGCGCACAATTGTCCGTAGGCAGTTATCAGCAGTGACTTAGAGCGCTTACCATTTGTATAGAAAACTGCTTCCTCTCAAGAAAAAGTGGACAAAGGTATTTTGTAAATGGTACAACTCAATCCCGTTCCTTTTTTACTGTGCGAAAAACAAGACCGTATCTTTTTACGGAAAATTTTAGTGAACTTTCCGTGCAAATGGTAAGCGCTCTTAATGACCTCTCTGAACCGACCAAACTTTTGCATCATAAATTGTGTTTTTCGTGATAAAGGGTAACAAGTAGGTTGACATAATCCTCTATCGAGACTGTCAAGTTAATGTCATTGTTCTACACACCGTGATAGCAGTCTCCAGTTTTCGTTTTGGACTTCATTGTGTCCCCTTGAAAGATGAGATATAAATCTTCCGCAAAGTTGTAAGCCGAGCAAAACTACCGCACTCGCAGAAAGTATGCATCCTGCACTTGTAAAGTATTTTAAAAGCCATTTCTATACCGCACAGTGCATACCAAACTATATAAAAAGTCAGTATGTGACTGAATGTAGCCTGTTCCATATTCCAAGATAGTCAGGAAAGCGGATCGAGAAAGCTGAGCGAAAATTGCGTGGGACTTGTGGAGAGACGACTAGTGGAGCATGTAATAATTTTTTTCAATATCTGATTCCAGTATACCAGCTCCTGCCTGGTAGACCCTATGATTGGTCAATTGTGACAGTTTATTTCAACTCTCACTACGTCAATTATCTGACACTCTGAAACGAGAAACTGTTTTTCAGGAAGAGGCCGGGGTAGTCGGCGGTGCTAACAGGCTTCCCCTTCTATCTTCCCGCCATTTTTTCTCGTTCGCTACCTCACTGCTATCTAGCTTTTCTCGCTCGCCACCCTGTCCGAGAGCCTGGCACAGGCTAAACTAAATGAGAAAAGTATTTGAAGATGGATCAAAAGGAACCTTATGATCCGATTATTATGTCATTACTTAGATTACCTGAATCGGTCGTAGCGACTGATCCCGCGACTGATGATGTCTCAGGAGTCCCTTGAAGAGTTTGTAGTTGTTGTGAATTTGACGCTTTGCATCTACGCCGGCAACAGAGTGCCAAGACGAACAACACAATAACTACTAGAACTGCCAAAAGAGCAACAATCACAATGTAGGTAATAGAACCTGTAAAAAAAAACAAAACCAAAGGAGCTTTAAATCTTGTGTTAAAAGCAAGAGATAGATACCTAGAATTGATATCTGCCACTTAAAACTGACCAAAGATAAAACTTTATCTCAATAGCCAGTAGTCGACGGTCTAGCTTGCTCATCAAATTGATCACGTCAGGCCGTCACTCACTGTCCTCTCCCTGAGAATCCGTACCCAATGTTCGTCGTTGAGGGAGATAAGAGACAGTTAAGTGTTATACAATTTGGTAAGTCAAGTCTAGTCTGCAACTCCGTAATCTTAACCATATAGCACATTAAAAGGCATTTACGTTAAAATTTTTCCTTCCACGTTTGCCTTGGTAGTAGGTGTATATAAAATAACATTCTTATACAAGTTTTTCCTTGACAAGTCTCCATGTATAGTGTCTGTCCGTTAGATAGTTGGTAATTTAGTTAATCTGACAATTAGTCATCGGTCAGTCAGTCAGTTAGTTGGTTAGTTAGTTAGGTAGTTGACCAGGGCCGAGTTGTTCAAAGCTGGGTTAAGATAACCCAAGGTTAGTGCGAGATTTGAATTAAGATTTGAAAGCTTAAAAAGCATTTCAGCTTTAATTTTTTTTGTCTACAAGTTGATGATTGGAAGCTCTAAAAATAGCACAGAAAATTATCCGCGAAAATGCTTTTGAACGCAAGATAAAGAAACCCGGGTTAATTTTAACCCGGGGTTAAGCGCTAATCAGCCTTCGGACAACTCGGCCCAGTTATACAGTAGGTCAGTCAGTCAGTTCGAGAAAACGTCAAGGTTTATTGGAAATATGCAATCTTTTTAAAAAAGGCCATGACTGATTCGACTTACTTTTACACATTTCATGTGATGCACGACTCTCAACGCATTCACAAGTGTCAGGGTCTAGGTGATCATTTTTGTTCTCGCAGATACGCTTGTAATACCCTTTGCAGACACAGGAACATGTCTTACGGTCCAATTCCTGTAGAAGGATAAGCATATAAAAGTACTTACAGCTCATTTCACTTTTACAGTACACTTAGTTTGATATCGGTACAGAGGGGATCTGCATAAACGAACCTCACTCGAGCAACAGCAACTACAGTAAAGTGTCATTGAAATGGACATCTTTGGGATCTTCTTTCGGCGTTAAGAGAGCACTTCCCGATTATAAAGAACCAATGAAAATGACCGAAGAAAGGCAGAAACAACAGCTAATGACCGGGTATTTAGACAGGCGTCTGTCCGACCCGCCCCCGCTTGTTTTAATACAGTGCAATTGGGTCCCCGTACAGATTTTGTGTGATAGCAATTCTGTAATCACCCGGTTGTATTCCAGTTTTCGTCTATTGGTGTGAAGCTACCTAAATGGGTTACAAATGTTAAGATGAATACTGAGCTGCTGAACAAGCAACTCCTTTGGGGTTTATAATTATTTTCAGTCCCTTAGCTCCATTGTTCATTCTACTGTGAAGATCATGTTCACTTTCCGAAAATTGACTGTTATTCTGGAAGATGCAGGCCACTAAAATGGGCTTTAAGTTTAAAATTTCTAGCATTTAATAAAGCCTTCTTACCTTTTTTCGTGAGCAGACAAATGGCGATCTATTGCATTGATATTTACAAAGGTGTTTATTCCACCTGAGGGAGGAAAAAGCACACGTCCATGAAATGAGAAGGAAAAAGTAGGAAACGATAAAAAGGGAGCCCCGTTTCTAATTCCAACTAGATCCACTTATGATCACTTGTCTGTAACGAATTGCCTCTAATCCTTCCATCTGGATTGGGATAGAAACTCTTGGAGCTCTCGGCAACTCGAACGGGAGTGGCTAGAACGGCAACTTGAGATGAGTAGGTCAATTTCGAGCTGCCTCAACTGCTTTGTCTTAAGCTCAGTTTCACACGACAGGTTTTGCAGTTGCCTCGTTTTAAAACTAGGCAAGAGTTTTTGAAACTCGGAAATAGCTTATTTCTGGGCAAAAATGCGACCGAGCGAGTAGCCTGAGATCATGCCCTTTCCCTATCACCCCTTTAACTCTCTAAGCAAAAAAAAAAAAAGAAAAAAGCGCCTGATCTCAGGTTACCGAGCGAGAGAAAACGCTATCTTGTAAAATACTAAAACCAAAAATCTCCACAGGTGTTAGAGATAAAATGGACACGTAGTGAAGTGGTAGAAAACGCACGAGCGACGAGTGGAAAAGTAAAATTTAAATGCCGTAAAATCGTCTTTATTTCAAGCCCATTTGAGGTGGGGCTAATAGACACGGGGGCATATTTGAGAGAGGGGGCTTATTTAGTTTAGCTAAGGCAATGGCATCCGTTCTCCGTAAAAAAATAGAATGCAAAGTGGAAACGCTGAAGTACAAAAGGTTGAAGGTCATCCAGCCAAAGATCAAAACAAATCCGAGCTTCCAGGTGGTGAATAATTCATCCTGGATCAGTCCACACGAGGTTTTACAGTCTACAGTGAATACAGTCTATCATTCTTTTATTGAAGAATAATAGGGATGAAGAGAGGGGGGCTTAAAAGAGAGGGGGAGCTTCTTAGAGGGGGCGGGGGGTTATTAGAGAGAGGGGCTCATTTGAAAGGGGGGCTTAACACAGGATTTACGGTATATGAACCCAAGCTAGCCGATCCACAAGTAACTTCCTTGTGTACTTCCGTTTGTAACATACAGTCGGTCATCCTCGCGAAATAGTTAGATGACCGCCGCTATAAAAGATGCATTCTAACAGAAGGCAACCAGTTGGTTATTTACAAGCGTAGTAGAGAATTTGAGCTCGGAACGACCGCGAACAACTCCAGCAAGTGGCGAGAGCGTGCCACGGCCACGCTGCCTCCTTTGTTTACAATATGTATGTTATATAATGTGTTTAACAAGTGGAATTGCTTTGTTTACCTTGTCAAAACATCGCACTGTTATCCAACTAAAATTCTAGAAGGTGACCGCTCCTACCTGATGGAGATGACCACTAAATACAGGTCAAATAAACCGTGAACTTGGATTTGACAAGCGGCCGCTTAATACACAGGTAAATAGAGGTTTGACTGTATGTATGAGTTCTCACCTAGAGTCTTTCTTTTGTTTCATGATGTAAGGTGGTGGTGCGTCGTCAAACTTACAGTCACATTTACAGGTTTCTTCATTCCACCTCTCCACCCGAAGGTCGCATTTATCTGGGCCACCTGTCGTACACTCTGCACCGCAGCTTGTGTGGTTATACACACGACGAAATTCATATCTGTGTCTCTCAAATGAAAACACTTTTATGTTGATTTCCTTTTGGCCAGTGGCAACGCACTTCTTGATTTTCGGATTGACCTCCTTCCACGAACCCTCACATCGGTGGAGTCGGACATAAAAAGGTCGGAATCTATGCTGGGGATCAACTTTTACTGTTGCAAGTACTGGCTCCTTGCATTTGACACCCGGTAGCTCAGTTGACTCAGCCACTGGGAGAGGAAAAAACAGAAAAACTAAAAATGAGACACTACGGTAACAAAAGTGTAAAAGTACTTCTTTTTACAGCACCTTTTCTGATCAGTGTTTTACTTGGGTCCGAATGGGTATTAGGTTCGTGACTGGAGCTGAACGCAGATACTGATATTTCCCGCACAGTAGTTTGTATTTGAGCACAAAAGAAGAAGAAAAAGGAAAGAAACAGTTACACCTTTAAAAAAAGTATTATATTTGAGTGTCAATGTAGTATTTAGCACGGAAGAGTATTAATTGAGGATTTTTACGTCTCCTAGGCTACTAGGGATCCTACTGGAGACGCAACCGCCATTCAGCGTATTCTGCGGGGTCATCAGAGCCACTCAAAGGTCTAGCCGTTTGCAAGGAAAAGCTAGTACCTTCATTCCTCAGTTATTTAAAAGACCCTGACCGTGGGTATTGTGTTGAAACGTTCTTAATGAAATTATAAAATCATGAAAAGAAGCCGTCACGTTCTTTTAGAGAGAGCGAGTTTTGAAAGACGAGATGATGAAGCTTTTGTTACTACCGTAAATCCTCTATTAAGCCCCACCTTTTCAGAGGAAGAAAGTTAATAAGGCCCTCCCCCCCTTCCCCCTTCCCTCCATCCTTGTTCTTCGCAAACAACAAACAAAATTAACGTGGACTGATCATTTATGGTATATTCAGGCTGGAAATTCATATTGTTTTTGGTCTTCGGCCGCATGACGCCAACTTCATGTGCTGAACTTTTTCAACTTTATGCTCTAGTTCTCTGAGGAGAATTGTTACCATTTTCTTATTGTTAGAAAAAGCAGTATAGCGCCCGGTAAACCTTGCTGCCGTTGATGCATTTCGCTAAATTAAATAAGCCCCCCTATTTTTTAAGCCCCCACCCTCTATTAAGCCCCCCCCTCCTCCTCGAAAGTGCTTGAAAAAAATAAGCCCCCCGGTGGCTTAATAGAGGATTTACGGTATTTCAACCTCGTTCCCAGGTTCTCTCTCCTACCCGTAGCGCTCCGTAGGTACGGGGGTAGGAGAGAACCCTGGGAATGAGGTTGACGGTATTTTGGTTTTGACATTCGCATCAACGCGCTTCTATTTTGCTAAAATTACTGACTTTAATACCTAACGAAAAGCGCTCCACTCAAATGTAATCCAATCCCATGGCAAACGCCCAGTTAATTTTGAAACAAATTCTTCGCATTCATAAGGTTAACGCGATAAACACGTGACGCAATCTTCCTTAGCTCGTCACGCCGTTCGTCCTCTGTTGAAGAGGATTGCGTGAAGAGGCAAAATAACGATGCCAAGCCGGAAATTAAGCTTACCACAATATACAACCAAATACGGTGCGGGCGAAATCTAAAAGAAAAACGATCTGCTCACACCCAAGACTTCTGGACTTAATAGCTTCTTAAACGTCACTGAATTGCACGTTTGTCAGAACGCAAAACAACAGTTTCATATTTCCGGCTGAAACGAATTTTAAGAAAAAAAACACTCTTGTGTGGAACCCAGGGTCTGATTGAAGCTATGATTTAAAACTATATGATATTGACAAAAGACGATTTGGGGGATTAACATTTTGGGGGTGGATTTTATTTGCGAGAAGGCGGAGAAATCGCAAAGTGCCACAATCAGATCTTCCCATCGTGCAATGACTCCACTAACAGATACCGGAAATAATATTAAGTTCCGGTACTGACCTTTTCTTCGATTATCCTCCAAAAATCTTTACAGTTTTAATATCATCGAAGTTGAAATCTCGAGTAAAAAATGCTGTAAAAAAATGCGACTGAAATAACGTATAAATTTCAGTATTGATTCAGTTTTTTTTTCTTTCTTCGGTCATCATTAACCAATTTTAGAAATGTAACTGGACTGCAAGTCGCCCGCCCGGAAGTCGTTACATGTAATACCAAAATAACGTTAGATTTGACGAACTTAGCCTGCGAAAGCAGTTTCTCCTTCGCTCTTGGAGAAACGGATGCTTTCGCAGGCTATGACGAACTCGGCATTAGGGGCTTTTTATACTTCTTATATCATGTGTGGCTGAATCGGTATTAATAATAAACGGGGGGAGAGGGGGAGAGAGAGAAAATGGGTTTTACCCAGCGGGTTAGCTGGCCTAGCGCCGAACGCTACGAACGAATTTTTTTTTAATAGTCTATTTTATTTTTAACAACGCTTGGGAGAGAAATGTTCATCGACGGGCTGGATGTGGACCAGGGAACACTTCCTCACATAGCCTATAGGGGAACGAGTACAGTCTTATTACATGGTATAATTTCTCCCTCTGAACCTAACTTGAACTATAGACGGCGTCTTTATTCTAGTTTTCCTTAGAACGTAATTAAAACTTTGATGAAGTAAGACTCTCTTCCTTCCTCTTCCCAAGGCCGGGGATTATGACACTTTCATATTTTGTAGGAAATAAAAACAGTCAAGCGTGCACATGGCAAGTACCGTGGCACCGGGAAAAAACACCGGAAGTGTAGTGAACCTTTAAACTGAATTTGGGCCTCGGTAGTTCGCTTTCGTTTTCTAATATTTTAAAGGACTGTTACATCCAAAGCCGAAAACTCACCTTAAATTCTTCTCAAATTTCTGTTAAAAGCAATACTTGATTATCTTGGCATAATTAAAACGCTCTGATTTCTCGTCTGCTTAAAATATCTTTCAACTGGGCTCGGCTAAAATCCACGTAAACAGAGGGGTTTCCCCTCGAACAAGTAATTATGGCTTCTTTATTTTATACAGAAAGTTTCCAAGTTTTTTTTCGCCTTTTTGACTCCAACAGAAGCAACAAAACGAAAATTTTGTGGCAAAGACTGCGTCGTATAACGCAAGACTGTTAAGAGGAAGTGTGTAGTGACGAGTTTTTTAGTATTGACTGGGTGTTCATTCATTCAAAGCCGCATCGTAATTAGCTGCAAAAGTGACCTACTACAAAGTTCCACGTAAATTACTTTATGATAAGTGTACATTTGAATCGATCTTGGTTGTTGTCCGAGGCAACATGCATGTAACTGCCAGCAAATAAGCGCTGCCCTCAACTCTCATCTGCTACATACTCGTGTAACCAATGATTCTATGAATGAATGAGTGAATGTCTAATGAATAACAAGTGCTTTACTCACCGAAACCTTGTAATACGGCGAAAAAGAAACAAATGAAGCTGATTACGGTTGAATCCTTCATCTCAAAGAAGTCAACAGGACCTCTCTCTCTCTCTCTTTGACCAGGAGGCGGTTGCAGTGGCTTTAATACTCAGAAAGCCTATCGATCTGCCTGACTGGGGGCATGTAATTCAATACTAAAAAGCGTCCGCTTTCGTAAGTATTTGACTGTCACTTATCTAAATTTATATGCAAATCTATTAGGAGGGTTGGTCAGTCATATGACTACAGGAGTGGCAGGGAAAACAAAAGGAAAAGCAATTACAGATTTAGGCAATGACTTCTAAAACAAAGATGGGTTTTTCCCTGCTAAATTTAAAGAGCTAGGCCGTGGGAAAGTTGCTAGCGGCATTGAAAATGTCATTTCTGTCCTTTCTTATGACATGCAAAGAATTTATACTGAAAGTGTCAAAACAAGTAAAACTTTTGACACAAGGCAGGCGCTAGTCTGCTACACAGCCGTTTTTAGTGTCGTCACGCAACGCTCTCCCCCACCCCAGCATTGCGTGATGACACTAAAAGCGGCTGTGTATCAGACTCCACAGTGGTTCCCAAATAAGTGCCCGGGCGCTTAATCGAGGAAGTACGGTACTTTTACACAACGATGGAAACGTGATGGTGAATTGAATTTGAAGCCTGCTGAATACTTGAGTATAATAACGTCCTTAGCTTCCATAAGTTTCTTGTGGCTTATATACTGGTAGAGCATTTGGACCGTGGGTGCCCAAAAGTTCATAGGTTCGACTCCTATTGGGAGCACCTGGGGTCAATTTAATAATAAAAACTTTTACACGTGTAATTTACAAGTGTAGCTGTTGTCCTCAGACTGTAAAACAATCGCTACACTTGTAAATTACAAGTGTAAAAGTTTTATTAAATTGACCCCTGGATTCTTTCTCTAACTGGGTCAGTAACTGAAAAATCATCAATCTAATTTTACTTTAAACTACTTTTATTGTAAATCCTTACATTACACGGTTTTTGCTACAAAAAATAAAGTCTCTCTTCTTGTTTACTAAAAAGAGTGTAAAATTTTAACGTGTTTCACAAAACACTACTTATCCCTTTTCATAGAAAAGAACTTCAGACTAACTTCAACTACGTTACAAACTGCAGAAAAATAGTTTCCACCATTTTAACGTTTTTACTTAGAAACGTGTTAAGAAAGTTCGTCCATCAGTAAAATCTAGAACAAGGAAAACCCTTCGTTCGTTAGTGATCACTTATTATTAAAGTGGTAAATACTACTTCACTGTAAATTCACAGTGTTGTTTTTTAAGAACATACAACGCACTTAAGAGTTGTGCGGGGATTAATCTCATGTATTCTGTATGTTCCTTTCTTGTAGTTGCTGCTGTGGTTTGTCTTCTTAAACATTAGATCAGATTTGACAAATTGATGATTTGTGATTAAAGGGCATTTGAAATAAGTCGTCGATATTTGACAGTCAGATGACCTGTCAGATCCAATGACTGTTCTGCCAGACACTGACAAAACGATATTTTTAGTGTCAACTTCAAGGTTTTGGGTAATTTGAAAAAGCCGGTCGCCAAGGGTCGTCACGGCGATTTTAAAATATTGTTCGGAAGACGATTTAAATTGAATTTTGGCATTTGTTGAAAATCGCTCATTGCCCCCTGAACATCAAGATGGTATAATTACCCATTTTAACGGCAATGACGAATTTTCGGGAGCCTTTTTCTGAAACAAGATGACAAATTTCGGATATTTTGAGAACCAAGTGAAATGTTTTGTTATGCCTGTATCTTTTGAATTTGTCCACAATTTAGTTGGTGGAAAACTATATCCGGTCGCCACATCTTTTTTTGTTTCCTCAAAGACAGTGTCCAAACTGGGCATGCGCATAAGCAGAGCACTGTCTGTAATGCGCATGAGCAGACAATTGTCCGTAGGCAGTTATCAGCAGTGACTTAGAGCGCTTACCATTTGTATAGAAAACTCGAAAATTTCGGTGAGAATTCAAATTGAACGTTTCATCTCGTTGGAAATTTTTCAGAAGAAAGGTACACCTTCTGAGGTATTGGCTTTTCCCCACTTTTACCGAAAAGATCGAAATTTTCTATATCCTTGCGTGAATTACCAGTGCTAAGAGTGCCATGCTTCCTTTCGAGAAAAAGTGGACAACGGTATTTTGTAAATGGTACAACTCAATCCCGTTCCTTTTTAACTAAGCGAAAAACAAGACCGTATCTTTTTACGGAAAATTTTAGCGAACTCTCCGCGCAAATGGTAAGCGCTCTTAATGACCTCCGAACCGATCAAAACTTTTGCGTCATAAATTGTGTTATTCGTGATAAAGGGCAACAAGTAGGTTGGCATAATCCGTTATCGAGACTGTCAAGTTGATTTTATTGTTCTACAAACTTTGATGTTATTTTTCCCTGTTGTGTTTTCGTATACTTGTTTTGCTTTGTTTCGTGATCGAGGAGACACCACAACACTACAACTCAACTGCCACGGTTTCAGTTCAGGACAGTGCTCCATAAAGCGAATTTGTAGTTGTTGTTGTTTTTGTTTTGTCTTCTTGCGAGGTTCTTGAGAATACAGGAAAAGCCAAAGTCAGCATGAACTTTAAAAACATACAAAAAAGTAACCAAACATTTTTCAGCGATAGCAAAGCAGAGATGTTAACCTTTATTGAAAACTTTGTGGCAGTCTCCAGTTTTTCGTTTTGGACCTCACTGTGTCCCCTTGAAAGATGAGATATAAATCTTCCGCAAAGTTGTTTAAAGCCGAGCAAAACTATCGCACTCGCAGAAAGTATGCATCTTGCATCTAAGCCATTTCTATACCGCACAGTGCATACCAAACTATATAAAAAGTCAGTATGTGACTGAATGTAGCCTGTTCCAGGCTCCAAGATAGTGAGGAAAGCGGATCGAGAAAGCTGAGCGAAAATAATTGCCTGGGAGTTGTGGAGAGAAGGAGTAGTGGAGCATGTAATCATTTTTTTCAATAGCTGATTCCAGTATACCAGCTCCTGCCTGGTAGACCCTATGATTGGTCAATTGTGACAGTTTTTTGAACTCTTACTACGTCAATTATTTGACACTTTGAAACGAGAAACTGTTTTTCAGGAAGTTGCCGGGGTAGACGGCGGTGCTAACAGGCTTCCCCTTCTATCCTCCCGCCATTTTTTCTTGTTCGCTACCTCACTGCTAGCTCGCTTTTCTCGCTCGCCACCCAGTCCAAGAGCCTGGCACAGGCTAAACTAAATCAGAAAAGTACTTGAAGATGGATCAAAAGGAACCTTATCATCCGATTATTATGTCATTACTTAGATTACCTGAATCGGTCGTAGCGACTGATCCCGCGACTGATGATGTCTCAGGAGTCCCTTGAAGTAACTTTGACGTTTTGCATCTACGCCGGCAATAGAGTTTCCAGACGAACAACACAATAACTACCAGAACTGCCAAAAGAGTACCGATCACAACGTAGGTAACCGAACCTGTGAAAAAAAAACAACAAAACAAAACCACAGGAGCTTTAAATCTTGTGTTAAAAGCAAGAGATAGATACCTAGAATTGATATCTGCAACTTAAAAACTTTTATCTCAATAGCCAATAGTCAACGGTCTAGCTTGCTCATCAAATTGATCTCGTCAGGCCGTCACCCACTGTCCGCTCCCTGAGAATCATTTTTTGACCTGCCCCCAACTCTCTATCTGCTTCAACATCCAAGATGCTGGGAGAGCATTCGTGTCATCGCTCGCGCTGCAAAATACGCCTGCTTTGCAGGCTATCGTCTCTCTCTTAAGGCAGGCTATCGACTCTCTCTTAAGGCAGGCTATCGTCTCTCTCTTAAGGCAAGCTATCGTCTCTCTCTTAAGGCAGGCTATCGTCTCTCTCTTAAGGCAGGCTATCGTCTCTCTCTTAAGGTAGGCTATCGTCTCTCTCTTAAGGCAGGCTATCGTCTCTCTCTTAAGGCAGGCTATCGTCTCTCTCTTAAGGCAGGCTATCGTCTCTCTCTTAAGGCAGGCTATCGTCTCTCTCTTAAGGCAGGCTATCGTCTCTCTCTTAAGGCAGGCTATCGACTCTCTCTTAAGGCAGGCTATCGTCTCTCTCTTAAGGCAGGCTATCGACTCTCTCTTAAGACAGGCTATCGACTCTCTCTTAAGACAGGCTATCGTCTCTCTCTTAAGGCAGGCTATCGACTCTCTCTTAAGGCAGGCTATCGTCTCTCTCTTAAGGCAGGCTATCGACTCTCTCTTAAGGCAGGCTATCGACTCTCTCCTAAGGCAGGCTATCGTCTCTCTCTTAAGGCAGGCTATCGACTCTCCCTTAAGGCAGGCTATCGACTCTCTCTTAAGGCAAGCTATCGACTCTCTCTTAAGGCAGGCTATCGACTCTCTCTTAAGGCAGGCTATCGACTCTCTCTTAAGGCAGGCTATCGTCTCTCTCTTAAGGCAGGCTATCGTCTCTCTCTTAAGGCAGGCTATCGTCTCTCTCTTAAGGCAGGCTATCGTCTCTCTCTTAAGGCAGGCTATCGTCTCTCTCTTAAGGCAGGCTATCGTCTCTCTCTTAAGGCAGGCTATCGACTCTCTCTTAAGGCAGGCTATCGACTCTCTCTTAGGGCAGGCTATCGTCTCTCTCTTAAGGCAGGCTATCGTCTCTCTCTTAAGACAGGCTATCGTCTCTCTCTTAAGGCAGGCTATCGACTCTCCCTTAAGGCAGGCTATCGACTCTCTCTTAAGGCAGGCTATCGACTCTCTCTTAAGGCAGGCTATCGACTCTCTCTTAAGGCAGGCTATCGTCTCTCTCTTAAGGCAGGCTATCGTCTCTCTCTTAAGGCAGGCTATCGACTCTCCCTTAAGGCAGGCTATCGACTCTCTCTTAAGGCAGGCTATCGACTCTCTCTTAAGGCAGGCTATCGTCTCTCTCTTAAGGCAGGCTATCGTCTCTCTCTTAAGACAGGCTATCGTCTCTCTCTTAAGGCAGGCTATCGTCTCTCTCTTAAGGCAGGCTATCGTCTCTCTCTTAAGGCAGGCTATCGTCTCTCTCTTAAGGCAGGCTATCGACTCTCTCTTAAGGCAGGCTATCGTCTCTCTCTTAAGGCAGGCTATCGTCTCTCTCTTAAGACAGGCTATCGTCTCTCTCTTAAGGCAGGCTATCGACTCTCCCTTAAGGCAGGCTATCGACTCTCTCTTAAGGCAGGCTATCGTCTCTCTCTTAAGGCAGGCTATCGTCTCTCTCTCTTAAGGCAGGCTATCGACTCTCTCTTAAGGCAAGCTATCGACTCTCTCTTAAGGCAGGCTATCGACTCTCTCTTAAGGCGGGCTATCGACTCTCTCTTAAGGCAGGCTATCGACTCTCTCTTAAGGCAGGCTATCGACTCTCTCTTAAGGCAGGCTATCGACTCTCTCTTAAGAAACACGTCTTTAGGACGGACAAATCCCTAATGCGAGCGATTAGAGTTGGCACCTGCCTTCCTCCAGTTTGGTTCACTATAAGGCGAATACCAACTGAAGTGCCGTACCCAACGATGTTCGTCGTTGAGGGAGATAAGAGACAGTTAAGTGTAATACAATTTGGCAGGTCAAGTCAAGTCTAACCATATAGCACATTAAACCTCATTTACGTTAAAATTTTTCCTTTCACGTTTTCCTTGGTAGTAGGTGTATATAAAATAACATTCTTATACAAGTTTTTCCTTGACAAGTCTGCATGTATAGTGTCAGTCCGTTAGATAGTTGGTAATTTAGTTAATTTGACAATTAGTCATCGGTCAGTCAGTCAGTCAGTTAGTTAGTTAGTTAGGTAGTTGACCAGATATACAGTAGGTCAGTCAGTCAGTCAGTCGAGAAAACGTCAAAGTTTATTGGAATATGCAATCTTTTTAAAAAAGGCCATGACTGATTCGACTTACCTTTAGACATCCCATGTGATGCACTACTCTCAACACATTCACAGGTTTTAGGGTTTAGAGGAACATTTTTGTTCTTGCAGATACTCTTGTGAAACACATTGCAGACACAGGAACATGTCTTATCGTCCAATTCCTGTAGAAGGATAAGCATATAAAAGTACTTACAGCTCATTTCACTTTTACAGTACACTTAGTTTGATATCGGTGCAGAGGGGATCTGCATAAACGAACCTCACTCGAGCAACAGCAACTACAGTAAAGTGTCATTGAAATGGACATCTTTGGGATCTTCTTTCGGCGTTAAGAGAGGATTTCCCGATTATAAAGAACCAACGAAAATGACCGAAGAAAGGCAGAAATAATCGCTAATGACCGGTTATTTAGACAGGCGTCTGTCCGACCCGCTCCCGCTTGTTTTAATAAAGTGAAATTGGGTCCCCGTACAGATTTTGTGTTATAGCAGTTCTGTAATCACCCGGTTGTATTCCAGTTTTCGTCTATTGGTGTGAAGCTACCTAAATGGGTTACAAATGTTAAGATAAATACTGAGCTGCTGAACAAGCAACTCCTTTGGGGTTAATAATTATTTTCAGTCGCTTAGCTTCATGGTTCATTCTACTGTGAAGATCATGTTCGCTTTTCCGAAAATTTACTGTTATTCTGGAAGATGCAGGCCACTAAAACGGGCTTTAAGTTGTAAAATTTCTAACATTTAATAAGGCCGTCTTACCTCTTTTGGTGGGCAGCCAGATGGCGATAGATTGCATTGATATTTACAAAGGTGTTTATTCCACCTGAGGGAGGAAAAAGCACACGTCCATGAAATGAGAAGGAGAAAAAAAAGGAGGAAACGATAAAACAGGGAGCCCCGTTTCTAATTCCAACTAGATCCACTTATGATCACTTCTCTGTAACGAATTGGCTCTAATCCTTCCATCTGGATTGGGACTGAAACTCTTGGAGCTCTCGGCAACTCGAACGGGAGTGGCTAGAACGGCAACTTGAGATGAGTAGGTCAATTTCGAGCTGCCTCAACTGCGTTGTCTTAAGCTCATTTTCACACGACAGGTTTTGCAGTTGCCTCGTTTTAAAACTAAGGAAGAGTTTTTGAAACTCGGAAATAGCTTATTTCTGGGCAAAAATGTGACCGAGCGAGAGAAAACGCTATCTTGTAAAATACTAAAACCAAAAATCTCCACAGGTGTTAGAGATAGCGTAAAATGGACACGTAGTGAAGTGGTAGAAAACGCATGAGCGACGAGTGGGAAAGTAATATTTAAATCCCGTAAAATCGTCTTACCGGGGGGCTTATTTATTTCAAGCCCATTTGAAGTGGGGCTAGTAGACACGGGGGGCATATTTGAGAGAGGGGGCTTATTTAGTTTAGCTAAGGCAATGGCATCAGTTCTCCATTAAAAAATAGAATGCAAAGTGGAAACGCTGAAGTACAAAAGGTTGAAGGTCATGCCGCCAAAGATCATAACAAATCCGAGCTTCCAGGTGGTGAGTAATTCATCCTGGATCAGTCCACACGAGGTTTTACAGTCTACAGTGAATACATTCTATCATTTTTTTTATTGAAGAATAATAGGGATGAAGAGAGGGGGGCTTAAAAGAGAGGGGGAGCTTCTTAAAGGAAGGGGGTTATTAGAGAGAGGGGCTTATTTGAGAGGGGGGCTTAATAGAGGATTTACGGTATATGAACCCAAGGAAGCCGATCCACAAGTAACCTCCTAGTGTACTTCCGTTTGTAACATAGAGTCGGTCATCCTCGCGAAATAGTTAGATGACCGCCTCTATAAAAGATGCATTCTAACAGAAGGCAACCAGTTGGTTATTTACAAGCGTAGTGGAGGATTTGAGCTCGGAACGACCGCGAACAACTCCAGCAAGTGGCCAGAGCGTGCCACGGCCACGCTGCCTCTTTTTATGTTTTATAAGGTGTTTAACAAGTGGAATTGCTTTGTTTACCTTGTCAAAACATTGCACTATTATCCAACTAAAATTCTAGAAGGTGACCGCTCCTACCTGATGGAGATGACCACTAAATACAGGTCAAATAAACGGTGAACTTGAATTTGACAAGCGGCCGCATAACACACAGGTAAATAGAGGTTTGACTGTATATATGAGTTCTCACCTAGAGTATTTCTTTCGTTTCATGACGTCAGGTGGTGGTGCGTCGTCAAACTCACAGTCACATTTACAGGTTTCTTCATTCCACCTCTCCACCCGAAGGTCGCATTTATCTGGGCCACCTGTCGTACACTCTGCACCGCAGCTTGTGTGGTTATACACACGATGAAATTCATATCTGTTTCTCTCAAATGAAAACACTTTTATGTTGATTTCCTTTTGGCCAGTGGCTGCGCACCTCTTGATTTTCGGATTGACCTCCTTCCACGAACCCTCACAACGGTGGAGTCGGACATAAAAAGGTCGGAATCTATGCTGGGAATCAACTTCTACTGTTGCAAGTACTGGTTCGTTGCATTTGACACCCGGTAGCTCAGTTGACTCAGCCACTGGGAAAGGAAAAAACAGAATAACTAAAAATGAGACACTACGGTAACAAAAGTGTAAAAGTACTTCTTTTCACAGCACCTTTTCTGATCAGTGTTTTACTTGGGTCGGAATGGGTATTATTTATTATTAGGACTGACTGACGTGACTGGAGGTGAACGCAGATACTGATATTTCCCGAACAGTAATTTGTATTTGAGCACAAAAGAAGAAGAAAAAGGAAAGAAACAGTTACACCTTTAAAAAAAGTATTATATTTGAGTGTCAATGTAGTATTTAGCACGGAAGAGTATTAATTGAGGATATTTACGTCTCCTAGGCTACTCGGGATCCTACTGGAGACGCAACCGCCATTCAGCGTATTCTACGTGGTCATCAGAGCCACCATTTAGTTCTCTGAGGAGAATTGTTACCATGTTCTTATTCTTAGAAAAAGCAGTATAGTTCCTGGTAACCACAAGTTCGTCCACTAGAAACCTTGCTGCCGTTGATGCATTTCGCTAAATTAAATAAGCCCCACTCTCTTTTAAGCCCCCACCTTCTATTAATCCCCCCCATCCCGGCCACCCCTCAAAAGTGCTTGAAAAAAATAAGCAACCTCGTTCCCAGGTTCTCTCTCCTACCCGTAGCGCTCCGTAGGGACGGGTAGGAGAGAACCCTGGGAACGGGGTTGACAGTATTTTAGTTTTAACATTCGCATCAACGCGCTTCTATTTTGCTAAAATTACTGACTTACTAACGAAAAGCGCCAACAGTAAACTTCCACTCAAATGTAATCCGATCCCATGGCCTTCCGTACATAGCAAACGCCCACTTAATTTTGAAACAAATTCTTCGCATTCGTAAGGTTTACGCGATAAACACTTGACGCAATCTTCCTTGGCTCGTCACGCAGTTCGTCCTCTGTTGAAGAGGATTGCGTGACGAAGCAAAAGAACGATGCCAAGCCGGAATACAGTTTCCCTAAATTAAGCTTACCGCAATATACAGCCAAATACGGTGCGGGCGAAATCTAAAAGAAAAACGATCCGCTCACACCCAAGATTTTTGGACTTAATCGCTTCTCAAACGTCACCGAATTGCACGTTTGTCAGAACTCAAAACAACAGTTTCATATTTCCGGCTTAAACGAATTAAAAAAAACTCTTGTGTGGAACCCAGGGTCCTGATTGAAGCTATAATTTAAAGCTATATCATTTTGACAAAAGACGATTTTGGGGATTAAATATTTTGGGGGTGGATTTTATTTGCGAGAACGCGGAGAAATCGCAAAGTGCCACAATCAGATCTTCCCATCATGCAATGACTCCACTAACAGATACCGGAAATAATATTTAGTTCCGGTACTGACCTTTGCTTCAATTATCCTCTAAATATCTTTACAGTTTTAATATCATCGAAGTTGAAATTCCGAGTAAAAAATGCTGTAGAAAAATACGACTGAAATAACGTATAAATTTCAGTTTTGATTCAGGTTTTTTTTTTCTTCGGTCATAATTAACCAATTTTAGAAATGTAACTCGACTGCAAGTCGCCTGGAAGTCGTTAATACCAAAATAACGTTAGATTTGACGAACTCGGCATTAGGGGCTTTTTATACTTCTTATATCATGTGTGGCTGAATCGGTATTAATAATAAACGGGGGGAGAGGGGGAGAGAGACAAAATGGGTTTTACCCAACCGCGCCTCTCGCGTTTCTCTCGCATCTAAAACTCCCTTTCCCTTCCCTTTCAAACGCCTGCCACGCAGGCTACCAACTGGTTAGTTGGCCTAGCGCCGAACGCTACGAACGAATTTTTTATTTTAATAGTCTATTTTATTTTTAACAACGCTTGGGAGAGAAATGTTCATCGACGGGCTGGATGTGGACCAGGGAACACTTCCTCACATAGGCTATAGGGGAACGGGTATAGTCTTTTTACATAGTATAATTTCTCCCTCTGAACCTAACTTGAACTATAGAAGGGGTCTTTATTCTAGTTTTCCTTAGAACGTAATTAAAACTTTGATGAAGTAAGCCTCTCTTCCTTCCTCTTCCCAAGGCCGGGGAGTATGACACTTTCATATTTTGTAGAAAATAAAAACAGTCAAGCGTGCACATGGCAAGTACCGTGGCACCGGGAAAAAACACCGGAAGTGTACTGAACCTTTAAACTGAATTTGGGCCTTGGTAGTTCGTTTTCGTTTTCTAATATTTTAAAGGATTGTTACATCCAGAGCCGAAAACTCACCTTAAATTCTTCTCAAATTTCTGTTAAAGGCAATACTTGATTATCTTGGTATAATTAAAACGCTTTGAGTTCTCGTCTGCTTAAAATATCTTTCAACTGGGCTCGGCTAAAATCCACCTAAACAGAGGGGTTTCCCCTCGAACAAGAATGCTGTAATTATGGCTTCTTTATTTTATACAGAAAGTTTCCAAGTTTTTTTTCGCCTTTTTGACTCCAACAGAAGCAATAAAACGAAAATTTTGTGGCAAAGACTGCGTCGTATAACGCAAGACTGTTAAGAGGAAGTGTGTAGTGACGAGTTTTTTAGTATTGACTGGGTGTTCATTCATTCAAAGCCGCATCGTAATTAGCTGCAAAAGTGACCTACTACAAAGTTCCACGTACATTACTTTATGATAAGTGTACATTTGAATCGATCTTGGTTGTTGTCCGAGGCAACATGCATGTAACTGCCAGCAGATAAGCGCTGCCCTCAACTCTCATCTGCTACATACTCGTGTAACCAATGATTCTATGAATGAATGAGTGAATATCTAATGAATAACAAGTGCTTTACTCACCGAAACCTTGTAATACGGCGAAAAAGAAACAAATGAAGCTGATTACGGTTGAATCCTTCATCTTAAAGAAGTCAACAGGACCTCTCTCTCTCTCTCTCTCTCTTTGACCAGGGGGCGGTTGCAGTGGCTTTAATACTCGGAAAGCCTGTCCTATCGATCTGCCTGACTGGGGGCATGTAATTCAATGCTAAAAAGTCTCCGCTTTCGTTAGTCTTTGACTGTCACTTATCTAAATTATGCAAATCTATTAGGAGGGTTGGTCAGTCATATGACTACAGGTGTGACAAGGAAAACAAAAGGAAAAGCAATTACAGATTTAGGCAGTGACTTCTAATGCAAAGATGGGGTTTTCCCTGCTAAATTAAAGAGCCAGGCCGTGGGAAAGTTACTAGCGGCATTGAAAAAGTCATTTCTGTCCTTTCTTATGGCATGAAAATGAATTGCATGCATGAATTTATGCAAGTGTCAAAAGAAGTAAACGTTTGACGCAAGGCAGTACGCAACGCTCCCCCCCACCCAGCGTTGCGTGATGACACTAAAAGCGGCTGTGTATCAGACTCCACAACGGTTTCCAAATAAGTGCCCGGGCGCTTATTCGAGGAAGTACTGTACTTTTACACACCGACAGAAACGTGATGGTGAATTTGAAGCCTGGTGAATACTTGAGTATAATAATGTCCTTAGCTTCCATAAGTCTCTCGTGCCTTAATTATTAGTAGTAGAGCATTTGGACTGGTACCCAAAAGTTCGTAGGTTCGACTCCTATTGGGAGCACCTGGGGTCAACTTTTACACGTGTAATTTACAAGTGTAGCTGTTGTTCTCAACAAGTGTAAAAGTTTTATTAAATTGACCCCTGGATTCTTTCTCTAACTGGGTCAGTAACTGAAATATCATCAATCTAATTTTACTTTAAACTACTTTTATTGTAAATCCTTACATTACATGGTTTTTGCTACAAAAAATAAAGTCTCTCTTCTTATTTCCTAAAAAGAGGATACAATTTTAACGTGTTTCACAAAACACTACTTATCCCTTTTCATAGAAAAGAACTTCAGACTAACTTCAACTACGTTACAAACTGCAGAAAATAGTTTCCACCATTTTAACGTTTTTACTTAGAAACGTGTTAAGAAAGTTCGTCCAAAAAATCTAGAACAAGGAAAACCGTTCGTTCGTTAGTGATCACTTATTATTAAAGTGGTAAATACTACTTCACTGTAAATTCACAGTGTTGTTTTTTAAGAACATACAATGCACTTAAGAGTTAATCTCATGTATTCTGTATGTTCCTTTCTTGTAGTTGCTGCTGTGGTTTGTTTTCTTAAACATTAGTCACAAACTGATGATCACAGTCAGATGACCTGTCAGATCCTGCAATTTCAAAAAAGATACATTAGTGTCTAGTTAAAGGGCATGGCTGGAAATAAGTCGTCACGTCTTAAACTATTACTGGGCGGTGTTGATATCGTAATTTGTTGGTGGCGAGAATATCGCTCATTGCCCCTGATATGAGGCAATGACTGTTCTGCCAGACACTGACAAATCACGATATTTTGAGAACCAAGTTCAATGATTGTTATGCTTGTTTTGTTTTGTAATTTAGTGGGCAAATGCACAGCCGGTCGCCATCTTTTTTGTTTCCTCAAAGACGGTGTCCAAACTGGGCATGCGCATAAGCAGAGCATTGTCTGTAATGCGCATGAGCGGACAATTGTCCGTAGGCAGAGGCTTAAGGCAGAGGCAGTTATTAGCAATGACTTAGAGTGCTTACCATTTGTATAGAAAACTCGAAAATTTCGGTGAGAAATCAAATTGAACGTTTCATCTCGCTGGAAATTTTTCAGAAGAAAGGTACACCTTCTGAGGTATTGGCTTTTTCCCACTTTTACCGAAACGATCGAAATTTTCTATACCCTTGCGTGAATTACCAGTGCTAAGAATGCCATGCTTTTTTTCGAGAAAAAGTGGACAACGGTATTTTTGTAAATGGCACAACTCAATCCCGTTCCTTTTTAACTAAGCGGAAAACAAGACCGCATCTTTTTACGGAAAATTTTGGCGAACTGTGCGTGCAAATGGTAAGGGCTCTTAATGACCTCTGAACCGATCAAAACGTTTGCGTCATAAATTGTGTTATTCGTGATAAAGGGCAACAAGTAGGTTGACATAATCCGCTATCGAGACTGTCAAGTTGATTTTATTGTTCTACAAACTGTGATTTTATTTTTCCCTGTTGTGTTTTCGTATACTTGTTTTGCTTTATTTCGCGATCAAGGAGACACCACAACACTACAACTCAACTGCCACGGTTTCAGTTCAGGACAGTTCTCCACGAAGCGAATTTGGTGTTGTTGTTGTTTTTGTTTTGTCTTCTTGCGAGGTTCTTGAGAATACAGGAAAAGCCAAAGTCAGCATGAACTTTAAAAATGTACAAAAAAGTAACCAAACATTTTTCAGCGATAGCAAAGCAGAGATGTTATCCTTTCTTGAAAACTTTGTGGCAGTCTCCAGTTTTCGTTTTGAACTTCATTGTCTTCCCTTGAAAGATAAGATATAAATCTTCCGCAAAGTTGTATAAAGCCGAGCAAAACTACCGCACTCGTAGAAAGTATGCATCTTGCATCTAAGCCATTTCTATACCGCACAGTGCATACCAAACTATATAAAAAGTCAGTATGTGACTGAATGTAGCCTGTTCCATGTTCCAAGATAGTGAGGAAAGCGGATCGAGAAAGCTGAGCGAAAATTGCGGGGGACTTGTGGAGAGACGGAGTAGTGGAGCATGTAATCATTTTTTTCAATACCTGATTCTAGTATACCAGCCCCTGCCTGGTAGACCCTATGATTGGTCTATTGTAACAGTTTATTTCAACTCTTACTACGTCAATTATTTGAAACTTTGAAACGAGAAACTGTTTTTCAGGAAGTGGGCGGGGTAGTCGGTGGTGCTAACAGGCTTCCCATTCTATCTTCCCGCCATTTTTTCTCGTTCGCTACCCCACTGCTAGCTCGCTTTTCTCGCTCGCCCACCCTGTCCGAGAGCCTGGCACCGGCTAAACTAAATGAGAAAAGTACTTGAAGATGGATCAAAAGGAACCTTATCATCCGATTATTATGTCATTACTTAGATTACCTGAATCGTTCGTAGCAACTGATCCCGCGACTGATGATGTCTCAGGAGTCCCTTGAACTAACTTTGACGTTTTGCATCTACGCCGGCAATAGAGTTTCCAGACGAACAACACAATAACTACTAGAACTGCCAAAAGAGTACCAATCACAACGTAGGTAACCGAACCTGTGAAAAAAAAAACAAAACAAAACCACAGGAGCTTTAAATCTTGTGTTAAAAGCAAGAGATAGATACCTAGAATTGATATCTGCAACTTAAAAACTTTTATCTCAATAGCCAGTAGTCGACGGTCTAGCTTGCTCATCAAAGTGATCACGTCAGGCCGTCACCCACTGTCCTCTCCCTGAGAATCATTTTTTGACCTGCCCCCAACTCTCCATCTGCATAAACATCCAAGATGGTGGGAGAGCATTCATGTCATCGCTCGCGCTACAAAATACGCCTGCTTTGCATGCTATCGTCTCTCTCTTAAGGCAGGCTATCGACTCTCTCTTAAGGAACACGTCTTTAGGACGGACACATCCCTAATGCGAGCGATTAGAGTTGGTACCTGCCTTCCTCCAGTTTGGTTCACTATAAGGCGGATACCAACTGAAGTGCCGTACCCAACGATGTTCGTCGTTGAGGGAGATAAGAGACAGTTAAGTGTTATACAATTTGGCAAGTCAAGTCAAGTCTGCAATTCGGTAATCTTAACCATATAGCACATTAAACCTCATTTACGTTAAAATTTTTCCTTTCACGTTTTCCTTGGTAGTAGGTGTATATAAAATAACATACTTATACAAGTTTTTCCTTCACAAGTCTCCATGTATAGTGTCAGTCCGTTAGATAGTTGGTAATTTAGTTAATTTGACAATCATCGGTCAGTCAGTCAGTTAGTTAGGTAGCTGACCAGATATACAGTAGGTCAGTCAGTCAGTCAGTCAGTCAGTCAGTCGAGAAAACGTCAAAGTTTATTGGAATATGCAATCTTTTTAAAAAAGGCCATGACTGATTCGACTTACTTTTAGACATTCCATGTGATGCACTACCCTCAGCGCATTCACAGGTTTTAGGGTTTAGAGGAACATTTTTGTTCTTGCAGATACGCTTGTGATACCCTTTGCAGACACAGGAACATGTCTTACGGTCCAATTCCTGTAGAAGGATAAGCATAGAAAAGTACTTACAGCTCATTTCACTTTTACAGTACACCTAGTTTGATATCGGTGCAGAGGGGATAAGCATAAACGAACCTCACTCGAGCAACAGCAACTACAGTAAAGTGTCATTGAAATGGACATCTTTGGGATCTTCGTTCGGCGTTAAGATAGGACTTCCCGATTACAAAGAACCAATGAAACAGGGGCGGATCCAGGATTTTTTTAGGAGGGGGTGCACTCGTCCCTTGCTCTACTTCATCTCCAATAAACCACAAAGTTTTTTTTTTGTGCAGAATACCAGTTGTATTAGAAAACTGCAGGTCATCTCAGGGGGGGAGGTGGGGGTGCGCACCCCCAGCACCCTCCCCCTAGATCCGCCCCTGTGAAAATGACCTAGGAAAGGCAGAAACAATCGCTAATGACCGCTTATTTAGACAGGCGTCTGTACGACCCGCTCCCGTTTGTTTTAATAAAGTGAAATTGGGTCCCCGTACAGATTTTGTGTTATAGCAGTTCTGTAATCATCCGGTTGTATTCCAGTTTTCGTCTATTGGTGTGAAGCTATCCAAATGGGTTACAAATGTTATGATGAATACTGAGCTGCTAAACAAGCAACTCCTTTGGGGTTAATAATTATTTTCAGTCGCTTAGCTTCATTGTTCATTCTACTGTAAAGATCATATTCACTTTCCGAAACTTTACTGTTATTCTGGAAGATGCAGGCCACTAAAACGGACTTTAAGTTCAAAATTTCTAGCATTTAATAAAGCCGTCTTACCTTTTTTGGTGGGCAGTCAATCGGCGATCGATTGCATTCATAATTACAAAGGTGTTTATTCCACCTGAGGGGAAAAAGCACACGTCCATGAAATGAGAAGGAGGAAACGATAAAAAAGGGAAACCCCGTTTATAATTCCAACTAGATCCACTTATGATCACTTCTCTGTAACGAGTTGCCCCTAATCCTTCCATCTGGATTGGGACTGAAGCTCTTGGAGCACTCGGCAACTCGAACAGGAGTGGCTAGAACGGCAACTTGAGATGAGTAGGTCAATTTCGAGCTGCCTCAACGGCGTTGTGTTAAACTCATTTTCACACGACAGGTTTTGCAGTTGGCCTCGTTTTAAGACTAAGGAAGAGGTTTGAAACTCGGAAATAGCTTAAAATGGACACGTAGAGAAGTGGTAGAAAACTCGTGAGTGACGAGTGGGAAAGTAAAATTTAAATGCCGTAAAGCATTTGAGGTGGGGCTGATAGACACGGGGGACATATTTGAGAGAGGGGGCTTATTTAGTTTAGCTAAGACAATGGCATCAGTTCTCCATAAAAAACTAGAATGCCAGGTGGAAACGCTCAAGTACAAAAGGTTGAAGGCCATGCAGCCAAAGAATAAAACAAATCCGAACTTCCAGGTGGTGAATAATCCATCCTGGATCAGTCCACACGAGGTTTTACAGTCTACAGTGAATACAGTCTATCATTTTTTTTTTTGAAGAATAATAAGAATGAAGAGAGGGGGGCTTAAAAGAGAGGGGGAGCTTCTAAAAGAGGGGGGGTTATTAGAGGGATGGGCTTATTTGAGAGGGGGCTTAATAGAGGATTTACGGTATATGAACCTAAGGTAACCGGTCCACAAGTAACTTCCTAGTGTACTTCCGTTTGTAACATACAGTCGGTCACCCTTGCTAAATAGTTAGATGACCGCCGCTGTAAAAGAGGTATTCTAACAGAAGGGAACCAGTTGGTTATTTACGAGCGTAGTCGAGGATTTGAGCTCGGAACGACCGCAAACAACTCCAGTAAGTGGCGAGAGCGAGCCTCGGGAACTGGCCACTCGGCCACGCTACCTCCTTTGTTTACAATATGTATGTTTTTATTTATAAGACGTTTAACAAGTGAAATTGCTTTGTTTATCTTGTCAAAACATCGCACTATTATCCAACTAAAATTGGCCAATTGGGAAGCCTAGAGGGTGACCGCGCGTACTTGATGGAGGTGACCGCTAAATACATGTCATTTAAACGGTGAACTTGGATTTGATAAGCGGCCGCTTAATACACAGGTAAATAGAGGTTTGACTGTATATATGAGTTCTCACCTAAAGTCTTTCTTTGAATGACGTGGTGAAGGTGGTGGTTCGTCGTTAAACGCACAGTCACATTTACAGGTGTCGTTATTCCACCTCTTCACGTAAGGGTCGCATTTATCTGGGCCACCTGTCGTACACTCTGCACCACACCTTGTGTGGTTATCCACAGAACGAACTTCATATTTCTTTGTCTCAAATGAAAACACTTTTATGTTGATATGCTGTATACCAAGAGCAACGCACTTCTTGAGATTCGGATTGACCTCCTTCCACGAACCCTCACAACGGTGGAGTCGGACATAGTAAGGTCGGACTCTATGCTGGGGATCAACTTTTACTGTTGCAAGTACTGGTTCGTTGCATTTGACAGGCGGCAGCTTTATCGGCTCAGCCACTGAGAAAGAAAAAAAACAGAATAACTGAAAGTAAGTAACTGCGGTAACAAAAGTGTCAAAGTGCTACTTTCCCAGCGCCTTTTCTGATCTGTGCTTAATTGGGTCCGAATGGGTATTAGTTTCTTGACTGCAGCTGAACGCAGGTAGACTACGAGTAGTCTAGGTACATTTCTTTAACAGTATTTTATAACTGAGGACAAAAGAAAAAGTACAAGAAAAGAAACAGTCACGCCTTTAAAAAACGCAACGAAAGAGTATTATTAATTGAGGATTTTTTACTTCTCCTACTGGATCCTACTGGCGACGCAACCGCCATTCTCACATTGTCATCCAAGCCACGCGAAGGCCTAGCCGTTTGCAGGGCACGGGCATGTACTTTCATTTCTCAGTTATTTCAAGACTTTGACCATGGGTATTGGTTTGGCCACGAGGATCGAAAACTCTCTCCTTTGTGTCGCAGGGAGGCTAGGGAGAGGGGAAAAAGCGCGCGGGGCACGATGGGAAGGGGAAAGAGAAGATTGCTTCTTTCACTGGTATACCGTAAATTTCCGAAAATAAGCCCCGGGACGTACATTTTTCGAAGGCCCTTTTTGAGGGGCTTATTTTTGAGGGGCTTATATTCGGAGGGATTTATCTACGGACGGAAATTTTCGTTTCAAAATCGATTGGGCTAGCCTTATAGTTGGAGGTAAATTTACCGTTTTTGCTTTGTTTTACTTTGTAAATGTATTTGAGGGCAATTTCAAAGGACAAGCCCCTGGGGGGCTTATATTTGGAGGGGGGATTGAGCGTTTTCTGCGTTGCCGTTTTGGGACGCTTGTACATGGAGGGGCTTATTTTCGGAATTTTACGGTATTCCGCGGTGATCGTACTGCGGTTCAATGTATGAAGACTGAAACTAATTGTCCGTTGAAAGGTTCTTTATGAAATGTAAATCACGAAATACATTAGCTTTGAAAAGAAGCCGTCACGTTCTCTTAGAGGTTGCGGGTTTTGGAAGAAGAAATGCTGGACTATTTTAGTTTTGACAATCGAGTCTACGAATAACGCCCACAGTAAACGAATATGTCCTCCTTCGCTCCTCAACTGACATGTAATCCGATCCCAATGGCAAGCGTCCATCAAATTCTTCGCATTCATAACTGAGGTTAATCTTCCATGGCTCGTCACGCAATAATTCTTCCTTCGTTGAAACGGCCGTACAGTTTCTTAAGCAGGCTTACCATAGTATACAGGAAACCAGCTAAAAACTGTGCGATTGAAATCTAAAAGAAAAACGATCTGCTGTCACCCAAGATTTTTGGACTTAATCGCTTCTTAAACGTCACTGAATTGCACGTTTGCGAGAACTCGATTTCATATTCATTTTCGGCTGAAACATCGACTGCCAGGGTCTGATTTAAGCCATAATTCTCGTCAATAAAAATTTTTTAAAACTATATCATTTTCACAAAAGACGATTTGGGGAATTGAATATTTTGGGGGCAGCGGGAAATTTTGCGAAACGCGGAGAAATCGCGAAGTGCCACACCGATCTTCCCATCATGCCGTGACTCCACTAACAGATACCGGAAATAACGTACGTAGTAATGTAATATTTAGTTCCGGTACCGACCTTTGCTTTTGGTTCGGTATTAAAGGCAGTTCATTTCCGTTTTCGATTATCCTCCACAAATTCTTAGAGTCATTCAAACCCGTTGAAAAAACAACAACAAACTGTTGTAAAAATTAACTGGAAAACATATCATAATACGATAATAGATTACTAAAGTAACGTATAAATTTTGGTTCTGATACCGTGTGTTTTCGTTTTGGTCATCATTTACCAAGTTAGAAAACGTAACTCGACTACGGTTCGTTATAATACAAAAATAACGTTGGATTTGACGAACTTAACATTAAGGGCTTTTTAGTTTTTATATCGTGTGTGGCTGTATCGCCATAGGACGGGGGCAAGAAAATGGGGTTTTACCCAAAAATGAACGCATTTTTGATTTTAATACCCTACTTAATCATAACTATGCTTGGGAAAGAAATGTTTATCGATGGGCCGGGCCGGATGTGACCAGGGGACACCTCCTTACACGGGCTTATACTGGAACGACAGTATTTTCACATGGTATAATTTCTGGGCTTTATTTCCTTTTAAACCTTTAAACTTGAACTATAGACGGGGTCTTTACTAAGCTGAAGTAAACCACTCTTCCTTCAACTTCCCAAGGCCGAGAAGTTGGACACTCTCATATTTTACAGAAAATAAAAAGAGAAATGTGCACATGGCGAGTACCGGGTACTGGGAAAATACACCGGAAGTAATAAGGTATTTATGTTGGAGCGCTCGAGCTGTGAACTTTTGGGCGTGGGTAGCTGGTTCGCTTTCGTTTTCGAACAATTTATAGGATTGTTAAATTTTTAAGGGCATCCAGAGCCCAAAAATCACCTTAAATTCTTCTTAGATTTCCCTTAAAGGGAGACACTTGATTATATTGGCATAATTAAGCGCTTCGATTCTTTGTCTTCTTAAAATATCCTTTAATGGTTCTGTCCATCTGAACAGAGGGGTTTCCCCTGTGTCTTTCGAACAAGAATGCTGTAATTATGGCTTCTGTATTGTACAGAAGATGTCTACATTTTTTTTGCCCTTTTCTACACTCACAGAAGCAACAAAAAACAAAATTTTGTGACAAAGCCTGCACCATACAACGAAAGACTGTGGAGCGGAAGTGTGTAGAAGCTGGTGTAAAATATTGGGTCGGTGTTCATTCATTCAAGTCAAAGACGCATGGTAATTGTAAATTCTTTGTACATCGCCTTATAATCAGTGTACATTTGAATCGGTCTTAGATGTTCTCCTAGGCATCATGCACTTAATTTTCAGCAAATCAGCTCTTCCCTCAACTCTAGTCTGCCGTACTCACGTGGCCGAATGATTCTATGAATGAGTAAATAACAAGTGCTTTACTCACCGTAACCTTGCAATGCGGAGAAAACGTAACAAATGAGGCAGATTATGGCAGAATCCTTCATCTTAAACAAGGTCAACAGCAGAACCTCTCTCTTTGCCCAGAAGGCGGTTGTAGTGGCTTTTTACACTCGGGAAGCAAGTCCTGTCGATCGTCGCTGAATGGGGGCATTTAACTCAATGCTCAAAGTTACCGCTGTCGTAGATATATAACTCTCATTAACTCGGGAATTATGCAAATATCTAAAGAGGGTTGGTCAGTCATGGGTCCACGGTGTTTGACAGGGGAAACAAAAGCAGCAATTTCCGATCAAGGTAGTGAGTGACTTCTCAAACAAAGATGGGTTTTCTCCCACGTAATTTAAAGGACCAGGGGCCCGTTTCTCGAAAGTCCCGATAATTAACGGACCCGGTAAGCCGTCTCCGTTTACGTTAAAGATCGAAGTTTCAATAGTTTTGCATCTAACATGATAAAACTAACAGTTAATGAAACGAAATGGAGTAGTTTGCAAGCCAGGACCTGCGCTCTTATTCTTTATATTTCAATTTGAATATTTGATTTCGGGCCCGAAAAGTTACCGGGACTTTCGAGAAACGGGCCCCAGGCCGTGGGAAAGTTGCTAGGGGCATTATAATAGTGAAGTGTGACTCAAAGGACCCCTAAACATTGAACAATTTGGTAGTCTGCTACGCAGCCCTTTTCTAGAGTCGTCACGCAACGCGTGACGACACTAAAAGCGGCTGTGTAGAAGATTTACAATTTGGGTGCAACCTCGACACCTCAGGATTTCATCCAAGCAAGCAATAAAATTCTTCAAACAGTTCTCGGTACATTTTAAATGATATTAATGGAATGAAATTGTTTAAAATCAGATCCTTACTCCTTGTTCAACAGTATTAACACAGAATTACGAACTTTTTGTTTGATTTATATACCGAGATAGCGAGTGGAGGAATTGGATACTGATACCGATACCGGTCACTTTCAGCGCTCTACTCCAGTTAATAACGCTATCATATATCAAGACCTAAAGGTGAATTAACCGGCATCCTCAATTGATGATTTCCTTATGACTTTACAAAAGCAGGCGCATTTAATTTGTCGAGTCGACTTCTCCTTCATGACCCAACAGTAAAATATTTACTCCACGCGATAAACAATCAATTGTTTTATAGTATCGAAGGCGTATTTCTCAGTTCATGATTCCGTTTATTCCTTGGTGCCAGTTATAAGTTGATGGCTCTGTTGGGCTGTCGTCTGTGTCAAGAGTGTGGAGGTAAAACAAATGTCATAAATTTTCACGGGACGTAAACTACTATCTATAACATTTTTATGAGCTTCTGTAGGTATTTAATGTCAGAAGTTAAAAGGACAGCCTTGGTGTGCAAGACTGAAGAGAGCGCACGGAGACGTGTTCTACCCAGGTCTCGTCGACTATCAAAACTTTTACTCGTCTCGCTTGCTCCTCGCCCGCAAGCCAGCTGGCCAATCCTTCGGGTCAAGTTTGTGTAGCAGTGACTGGTGGCTCCCACCGCTAAAAAAGAAACCACCTCCTTTGCAGCATTCCAAATACGGGAAAATTTCACTCGATACGTGGCAATATGGCGGCACAGGTACAATCATAATAATCACCTCAGCCCCCCTTCTTAATTTAGATATCGCTCTTGAAGGTGAGAAAGTGAAACGAATATATGATTTCTGTCCCTTTACATTTGCGTCATACTCGTGATACATATTAATAGTGCCGCACAAG